GGGGAAAAAGAACGGTAAAATAATGACCTAAAACGGCACAAAAATGGGACAAACACCTGACGCCTTAAATCCATGCTATTAATTCCTTTAATCCAACGGTTATAACCTTTTCATTATCCTTTTGAATCTCCACCATCCATACGCTTGTTAATCTAACGGCTCATAACCAAGCATCCTCCTATAAATACCCATGTTCACGACTCTTTTTACGATTTTTAACCTTTGCATATTTCTGTGATATTTTTTGCTCTAAATCTCCAAGTTTCCTGCTTTCTGTCTTGTTCTCTTCAACCAGCTTCTCTGCGATCTCGCTCTTTTCCGGCGGCCACTTCGACTTCTGACAATGAGCAAGTTCCTACACTCTTCGACTTTATGCACTTTTATTTCATTTTTTTCACTTTTGCTAATTTCCATCTCCGCTCCCAATTATTCACACCACTCGCCTCTCTAACCCTATGCTCCTCTGTTCTTCTTCTCTCCTCTTCTGAATCCTAAAAAAACTCCTTTGTTGATATTATCTTCTGTTGTTTTTTTTTTTTTCAGATTCCAACAGTTACAGCTAGAACGACCGTTTCCCCGACAAGGATATGACTTCTCCCTCTTCATCCTCGACTCCTCGTAATTCACCTTCTTCTGTTCCTTACGTCGAAAAGTCCTCCAGGCTACACCTGTCACCACTCTTCGACTTGCCTTCCCTAACTAGTCTTTCCGTCTGACCGATGAGCCAGACGAAGATGTGCTCGACCACATGCCTTTGAGATGCCGCTCTCATCGACCCTTTGGTATGCACGGTGTTGCCGACGCAGCCGTTGAAGAGGAGGACAATAAGGTCCTTTGTTCCTATCTTGTGGTTTCGAGCAAAACCAAAACTTCAACCGAATCGACTACTTAAAAAATTAATAAGGCCTATCCGTCGACGCGTTACACTTCTCCTCGTCGCAAAGCCAAAACCTCTCATCCGTCTTTTCCTCATATTAACTGGTTAGACCTTGATGAATTCAACCACCCGGAAGCCGAGAGCCGTCAGTTTCCCAAGTAAAGGTGAGACTTACGACAACCCCTCTGATGGCTATTACACTTTCTCAAAATCCAGTTCGAGCTAGGTATCCGCTTCCTTATCTGTCCTGCTCTACTCGATATGCGTAAGCTATTTGGCCTGGCCTTGAACCAACTTCCCCCTAACTCCATTCGATTCTTAACCACTTTTGTTGTCCTCTCCTTTGTTCGTCTAGGTCGAATCGACCAAGACTTTTTCTAGTATTGTTATATGGACTCCAAGAAAGTTAATGGACTCTACCTGAAGAGTCGAATGGTGCCAATTTCATTACTGACGTCCCCTCCAAGTGCCTGAAATGGAAGCTCAAATTCGCGTTTGTCAAACTTAGGACTCCTTATCCTTGGGCCCTTACTCCTTGGCTCACAGAACTTCCTTTCGAGGTCGAGCCTCCTCTTCAAAAGTCGATATCCGACCGTCATATCCGCCAATGGAATTCTAATCCTGTTGTTTCTAAAACCTTACTCAAAGATAATCATTTCCTCCACTTTTACGAATTACTCACTCACAAAACTTATCCTCCTCCCCTCGAGCAGACCCTCACAGATCTTCGAGCCATTAATGAGTCAGGTAAGTTTTTTACCATCATATTCGTTCATAACACATTATTTCATATGCTAACCTTTCCTTTGTATTTGCAGATCCCCCTATCTCGACAAGAACTCTTCCTCACCAAGAGGAAGGTTCCTCTGAAAAAGAAGACGACCAAACAAAGAGCTCCTCAATCGCCTCGTCAAGAGACATCACAAAACGACCCTCCTATTTCCACCAAAGAGACCGAGACTCTTTCCTCTCCACCCAAGGAGCAAAGGCCCCTTTTCCCTGTGGTCGATCAATAGGGTGGTCCTCTCTTTTTTTCCCCCCACATTCGACCAATTCATTGGTCGAGCAACCACAATTACCCCGCTTGAGCAATCATTTGAGACAACTCGAGAGAAACACCCTCTCTTGGAGCGAAGGCAACACCAAGCCCCCTCGCCTCGAGGCAGATCTCCGTAACACCTCTTCTCCTCCTTCTCTCGTGCAAGCCAACGTGAGGGAGCTGATGTCCCTTTTCAAGGATGTCCTCCTCGCCAGCGATCTCGAGCTTGGACGCTCAGACCTCCGAGTTCAGGGCGAGCATATCTTTGGCTCTCTGGTGCACGTAAATATTCAATCTATAATTCTGATGATAATTCCAATCTGTACCTTTGTTATGCTAACTCCTATTTCACTTGTGCTTGATGCAGGGCTTTGTCCGCCTTGTGCCTCTGCTCGACGGCCTTGTCGGGCTCAGGTCCAACCGTTCTTGAGCTCGAACAAGGAGGATTAAATGGACACACCCCACAAAGACGGAATTTCGTCTTCTCAATCCCTAGTGAGAATATGAGCATGCTTGGATGCAAGATTTCTAAAACAAAAAATTCAATTATTTTTAACTAGTCACTTTTTTTTTTAACTCAACTTTAACCAAACTTCACAATTCTCAATATTATCAATATAATTAAATAATATCAATCTTTCATTCTTACACATTGCATCAAATTTAATTCACTCACTTAATTTTTAACTAACAATCATTTCACATCACTTTTTTTCTACTTTTACATTAAAGTACTTTAATTATATTATTTTAAATATATTTTTGAATACACTTACAAAACAAAAAATTCAAACAAAACTAAAAAATCTTATATCCAAGCTTCCCCTTTCTTCAAAGAGAAAGAATAATAAATCTATTTATATATATATAGTTTAATCTTTTACTCCCAATAAAGAAAAAACACAGTAGTCATCTCTCCTCAACCCCACATCAAATTACAAAATGCTCTTCATTTTCCTACATAAGAAGCTCCCTGCAGATAGTCTCTCTCCCTATTCACTCACTCACTCACTCTCTCTCTCTCTC